GGAGAGCAATTCGAATCCGAACTATTTAATAACTTGGCTAAACTTCTAGGCTCCAATAGGATACGCTCCACTGCATATCATCCTCAGGCTAATGGGATGGTAGAACGTTTTCACCGTCAGCTAAAAACCGCCCTTATATCTCACTCAAACCCCAATCAGTGGACAGAATTCCTACCATTAGTTATGTTGGGAATACGAACATCTGTCAAAACTGACGCACAGTGTTCAGCTGCGGAACTGGTTTTTGGAACAGCTCTGAGACTACCAGGTGAATTTATTAACCCTAATACTAACAGTCAAAAACTTAATTTAGAAAATTACGTAGATCAACTACGGGACCATATGTCCAAACTTAAACCAATTAATACTCGCGAACAATCGCGCGCCGTATATGTACCTAAAGACCTAAGCAGTTGCACGCACGTCTGGATAAGATGTGACAAAATAAAATCACCACTCAGTCCTCCATTTGAAGGTCCTTTCAAAGTCGTCTCAAGAAAATCTAAATACTTCGTGATAGAAAAACATGGAAACATCGACACAATAAGTATTGATAGGCTAAAGCCGGCTTATCTAGATCATGAACCACCATACGTGTTGTTAGATTGTTTAACTGGCAAATCCATTACGGAATCAAAATGTAAAGATGATAAATTTTTACAAATGACTAAAACGGTTGGCTGGGCACATCCAATTAGTCAGTCAAGGATGTTGACAGTTTCGGCTGCAGGATAAAATCTAACCACGTAGCTAATCAGACCCTGCGTCTACTTAAAAATAATTTTTTTTCCTCATTCCGCCTCACCTACAACTCCCCAGACCTTTTACCTTTGATATATAAGTGTTATGTTAAGTATTTTTTTTAATACTGGACACATAAGCTAGGTATTCCGAAACGATGGCTGAGGATTTTAATCAAACTCATACAACTAACAGTGGCAAATAAAACGAATCCAAAAAGCAACCCAGGCGAGTTTTATAATTTCTTTTTCTGGTTAATTAACTATGTTGGCTGTACTCCTTATATATCTATATACATTTTTCACGTAGACTGGCTATACATATATACCATATGAACTACTTCTAAAAGTTTTCGGTCGAAGATATGTTTAGTAGCTTGATACGATTAATACTACTATTAATAAGTGGTTTTCTAGACAAAACATTTTGGATTAAATCATGGCCAAGTACTTATTAAAGTTCTCATCATTTTTTTTCATGTTTAGGAAACTTATGTAATGACATAACCAGTTTTCCTGCAGCATGCTTTTTAGTGTGATCATATAACCCATCTTTATTGGCAATATTCAGATTTTTTTTTTTAAAATTCTGACATTTAAGAATCAATAACCGTGGAGATATAGTACAGTGCGTTACTGTAAGGTTACTATGTTAGTCGCATTGATTCCACATACCTAATTTTAAACACAACTTATAAAGGAACTATTTATCAATCATAACATTGAACTAACGACATGACTATCACAGCTATGTTAACGTTAAACCAATTATTATTAGTGGTCCTGACAAAACCCTGGAACTTATCACTAGCGTTATAAAAAAGACATGTTATGTCAGTAACTTATATATATATATATATATATATATATATATATAGTATTATTAGTAATCCAAACAAAGAACTTGTACTGTTCCAATATGGCATTTTGACATATCAATCCGTCCTCCTCTTATCTTTCTCTCATATCTGAGCAACTTATGGCCATCGTATTGAAGGGGGTTTCGATGAACAAAATCGCATGCCCCACACGCACTCGAACCTCTGCCCTCCCGAGTGCTAGACAGCGTGCCTAGCCATTAGACCACATCAGACTACGAGGGGGGTGACTGCAATCTTTCCTTTTACCGATTAATCATTCATAATACTAATGAGTAATAGGACTTACACATTTCTAAGGTGGAGACAAGTTCGTTACTTGAATGAATTGACGAAATATTCTGTCTTCAGTCTTCAGTCTTCAGTAATAAGGATAGGAGGTCTGTCGACCTATATTAATCCTTGCAGTTTGTAATACTATGAAGGTCCAATCTCGTTTTGTATATATTAGCAGACGGTGCTGATATTACGTGTTCCGGTAGAGAATTCCAGTAATTCACTACTCGGTGCGAGAAACGGAACTCCAGACGTAAACAGTTTGATCTCGGTTTTTGAACTTTATTCGAATGTCCTTTCAAATGATCGGTTCTAGACGGGAGCAAAAGATAAGACATGTTGATACCAAGGTCATCGTTCAGTATACGATGGGAAAATATTAGATCACCTCTTATTCTACGGTAAGATAACGGAAATAAGTTAAGGTGTCTCAGTCTGTCTTCATAAAATAGGCCAGATAGACCTTGTACTATCTTAGTAGCTCGTCGTTGGACTCTTTCTAGCATATCTGCTTCATATTTGAAACAAGGACACGCTGCTTGAATCCCGTATTCTAAATGTGGTCGCACATAAATCGGGTATAGTAATCTAAACATTTCATCATCTAAATACTGGAAAGACCTACGAATTGACCACAACACCCTATAGCCTTTCGCAGCAGCAGCCTTACAGTGACTAGTCGTTTTGAGATCATTGCTTAATATGACTCCTAAATCTTTATAGTTTCTTACTTTGGGTATCACGAATCCACGTAGTGTATAGTCATACGATTCATCAGAGTTATTTAACTGCATCACTACACTCTTATTCGGATTTACTTCTAGTGACCACCTATCTAACCATGCGACCAATGAGCTAAGATCGTCCTGTAATACTATCCTATCCGACATACTATGTATGGGTCTCCAAATCTTTATGTCATCAGCGAAGAGTAGAACGGATGATTTTGCTACAGTTGGCAATTCATTTACATAAAGTAAAAAGAGAAGAGGACCCAGGATTTTACATTGGGGAACCCCACTTTTTACAGGTACCCACGAGGAGAGAGCCCCATCAACCCTTACCCTTTGTCTCTGTCATGGAGAAAGTTACTTATCCAATCGACGACTGTATAATGGATTCCAAAACGTTTCAGTTTGAATTTAAGACCAGAGTGGGAAACCTTATCAAAGGCTTTACTTAGATCCATGAGAATCACATCCACAGGAGCATTCCGATCCTTTGCCGCAGCCCAATCTTCTCGTGCAATGAGAAGATTTGTCAAGCAAGATAGGCCTTTCCGAAAACCATGTTGTTCCCTGGAGAAAAGATTTTGCCCTTCAACATAGTTTATAACAGCTATCCGAATGATTTTCTCCATCAGTTTTACAACTGCACTAGTTAAGCTAATAGGTCTATAGTTACTAACTAAATCCCTACCCCCAGCCTTATACACCGGACTTATTATGGCGTCTTTCCAGTCACTAGGAAGTCTGGACTGTCTCAGAGACCTGTCGAATAGTATCGCTAATGGTTCAGCAATTTCATCTGATATGGCTTTCATAATCCTAGGATGAATATCGTCAGGATCACTGGACTTATCAGGTTTGAGATGCTGGAGTAGCCTTAAAACAGTATCTTTCTCAATGACTACAGGATCCATCAGAGAGCCGTCACGGTCGCGATGAATCATTGGTCGTTCCTGATTACCGATAGAAAACACTTTACTAAAGTATTCCGATAAAGCTTCAGCTTAGTTAGCCTTTTTATATACGAGAATAACCGTTTTGGACTATATCTAGAATCCCTAACCAATTTTTTTCGTATGATAGTCTAGTCTTACTTATTAACGCTTTACAGGCATTCCTAATGTTACAATAACTGGATCTGAATTGTTCTAAGCCAGTAGAGATGAACCTATTCCAGTGCTTCTTTCTTTTTCTAAGAAGTTTCCTGACTGTTTTGGTTATCCATGGTGGATTTTTATTCGGTCTTCGCGGAACCAGTATGGTATGAACGAGGATGTAACTAAACTAAACTTACCTTTAAATACAGACCATAATTCTTCAACTGATAAGCTAGTATCTACAAACCAATCCGTATTAGCAGCACATTCCTGAATGGCTGATATGTTAGCTTTCCATACATTTGGGCGAGGTGTAACCTGATCGTATAACATGTCCCTAGTTCGAAACGTGAATGACAAAACAGCGTGGTCGCTGTTCAATAACGGCGGGAGAATATTCAAGTCGACAATATCCTCATTCTCATGAGTGATTACCAAATCCAGCAGAGAAGAACCCTGGTTAACACAAAAACGTGTGGGTTGGGATACATGCTGTACTAGTGCATCCTCAATTATTGTTATCAGGAACTTACTATCAAAGGAGTCTATAGATCCTTCTGTGGTCATATCAGTCCAACTAATATCAGGCGAGTTTAAGTCTCCTATTATCAAACATCTGGTATTTTCACTCCAAAGATGAATGTCCTCTAAAACAAAGTCATCAGCTAGGCAGATTGGGCTCTGATAGATGACACCTAGCATAAATGTACTACATCCTATAGCCAACTTACATCTAATAACTTCACAAGTGCCGCCATCATGGGATTCGCTAGTACAGGAGCGGATATTTATGCTATTGGCTATGTATAACAGGACGCCGCCTCCTTTCCTATATCTATGTCTATCACTCCTGACGCAATGGTATCCGGATAATTCTGGAGTAATGTCTAAGTCATCGACTAACCAAGTTTTTGTCACTGCTACTATGAGTGGCTTTAACCTGTCCACTAGTGCTTCTAGTTCATAGAACTTATTTCGTAGACTACGAGCGTTGGCATATAAAACTCCTAAGTAGAACAGCCTATCCACACAAGCCTTGGTAGCATTCGCTTCCAAGACCTGACTATCCGAAAACCCACTAGCCGGAGATTTTCCTCGCCGTTTTGCCGACGGGTTTCAAGTTCAGCTAGTGCTTTCTTCCTTTTTATTCTATATTCGAAAGATATGTCATGTCTAACTACGTGTCTGAAAAATTGGTTTCGAATCAGCTTTGACAAACAACAATAAATTATATCAACCGGTGATTACTTAATATTGTCTATCTAGTTTTGTTTGAACTAGTCGTTGTTGAATAAGCCTGTTCTGGTCCTTTCTTTGCAGCGCGTTTTCGTAAGCATGAATCCGGAGAGGGTCGCATTGCTTAAGCAGTTTGTTGAGTTACTAAAGGAGAAACCGGAAATTCTCGACACCCCTGAACTGTCGTTCTTCAAAGACTGGCTTAAAAGGTATATTTTCGGTTTTGTTTACTTGCAAACAGTCTTGGGGCTAACGTTCCTGTTTCACAACCTAACCGACCCACTGAAAATTCATTTTCAGACGACTCTGGTGCAGATGAGACTTCAGAATCTGAAATAGGTAGATGTTAACGGTGATTGCTAACACTTTTCAGAGTTTGATGATGAAGTGCTGCCAAAGGAACCTGTCCCAGACCTAGATATGGGTGACGATTCGATAGAAGTAACTGATGAATTGAGAGAAAAAGCTGAAGAAAAGAAATGTGAAGCGATGGCTAAAATGTCTGATGGAGACTTTACTGGGGCTGTTGATTTGTTCACAGAAGCAATTAAACTAAACCCCCAGTCCTCACTATTTCATGCCCGACGTGCAAGGTAAATTCCATTTTATCTAGCAATTCCACAGTTGCTTTGTACGAATGAAAAAGCCATCCCATGCTATTGCAGATTGTGACAAAGCTATTTCGTTAAACCCTGATTCTGCACAACCTTACAAATGGAGAGGATTTGCTAATAAGTATGCTTTGATTTTAAATATTTCTACTCCACAGAATGATTGGTAATTGGGAAGCTGCCTATCGGGATCTTCAGACATCTTTGAGGTTAGACTATTCAGATGATGCCAATGAAGCGATAAAGGAAATCGAACCAAAGGTAATTCTTTGTAATAGAATACTTATTTGTGTATGTCAGTATCATTTTTACTTACGATCTACCTCATGAGACTCATGAAAATTATCACTTTATAACAAAATGAACATTAGTCTAGTACACTAACATATATATAGTCGCCAAATAAATTCGAAATGGCTTGTGTCGATAAACTTTGCACATTTGCTTCTTTCAGTGTAGCAGGTCACCTTGTTTGTATACATAGTATATCTTTTGTTTTCAGGAGCCCAGAATCTTGCTGACACTACCAATGCATACATTAGTTTAGGGTTGCCTAATGAAGGATGAGTAATTTATACGTAAATTTATCCTACAGTTGGCTCATATTTGAGTTGCTAAGTACTGGTCTTGATCCCTAACCATCTGGGTTACCTAAAAGAGCGTTCTGTTCTGATCACAAAAGTCAATTTCAGGCCTTCCTCCTCCCTTTTCGGACTTACCTAACTCACTAATCTATTAAGCCATCAAAAATAAGGATTATTCCTGCGACTTTGTAAATTTCATCGGCAAGCGTACGTAAACTGATTGATTTTTGCAGAGTTTATCTTCCTTGGATGTGAGTGATCTACTTTTTGCATGAGGGTGAGTATTTTACACACTGCCCTATTGTGTTTTGGTTATTGAACATATCTAAAGAACTCACTTGGGTTAGTCGTTAGTGGTGATATCGTCGTGTGAATAACACTGAGCTCAACCGTAACGTATTAATGCGACGGTTCAATTACTAAGTATTTAGACTTCACTGAGATCGTTTCATAGCCCTGGTCCGTCGTCTATGGCAACTTGGGGGTACCTGGTTGGTTTTGTGGCATGGCTGAGGGTTATGACGTCAGCAAGATGTACATTTCTGACCTGACTGTTAGGGTAATTGCTGCTTCACGGTACATAACAAAATGTCGAAAATCGACTAGTCAAATAGACGTGTTTATTCTCTTACTGGCCGTAATCTGTGGTTTTACCCTTAAAATGTATTCCGTACATTTAGTCCACTACTCCGCGTGTCTAGATTTTAGTCTTGATGTGACGTGTAGCATCTCCAACGGAAGCAACTTCTGACCACATCCTGGATTATTGAAGAACAATCTCAACTTTGATTTCAATTTTACGCACATGTTTGTTACAGTTATTTTGGTATTGTTTTCCAAACAGCACAAACGAATCTTCGAACATAACATGAAGTATGAGCGTAAACGACAAGAAAAGCTAGAACAAGAAAAACGCGAACGAATTCGAAAAGCACGAGAAGAGCGTGAACGTGCCCAGAGAGTAGGTCAACTTGTTTTGTTTGTACTTGGAAAAATGGTTGTGTATAAATTTGTTTTTTCGGTGTTATTTCAGTGCCTGAGAGTAAACTACTGTGAACCATAAATTTTGTTTTTGTATTGTGTACTATTCTCCGTTCATAAGTATTTTTAAGTTTGTATATTTGAGTGTCCTCACACAACGTCCATCGATTTCATCATCTATTGACAAGTCGACCCTTTTTAAAAACAGCAAAGTGAGTTCAACTTAGACTTTTAAATACGAAGCTTATAAATTAGGTCACTTTGAATTCCATGTGTTCAGAGGTGGAATTCAGCTCCAAAGTGGTTATCTTAAAACCACTTCCAACTCATCAGATCGCTTGGGAAAGTTGAACCTATATTTTTTTATTTTGGAATGAGTGATCTTTGTTATTACCGATGTACGGCTTTACCATAATTATTGGTTAAGTGGGCTTGTTTGTCGTAGCTTTCAATCTTTTCATTTTTTTCGTGAATAGGATACAGAAAAACCCGATTTTGACATTCCAGGAAGCGGTAACATTCCAGGCATGGACAATATGTTTTCACAACTGTTCAATGATCCAGAATTGATGTCTGCTATCCAGGTAAATATATAGTTTTTAAACTCATTCTGCACAGCACTTGCGCGTGTTTTTGAAATTATCGAGTTTAGTGACTAAAGTCGAACTATTTAGAACCTAACCTGTATTTTAGGGACTACCAAATATTGTCAGTTTGGTTTATTTAGTTAGGAAATTCCTGATGGTTATGTATGGAATTTGTAGTTTTTTTAGTATTCGGTAGTATAAAGAAACTAGCAAGATAATTCGAGTGTTGAGGTTCTAACAGTCAAATTATAAACAACAAAGTAAATTAATATACGGTACTCACTATTCCATCCATAACCACTGATATCTTTATTATCTAATAATAATGATAATAGGTAGTCACTAATTTGCTTTTATTTCATAGCTTACCAAAAGCAGATTTTTAATTTCGAACGGTATTATTACAAGTTATACTTGACTTCTATGTAATTAAAGGCCTATAAAAAGTGCTCCAAGCGTAAGTTCCTACTTTTAGGTTTAATAATATGTTCAGCTCTGCTAAAAGTTGATCCGTGTACTTTAATTTTTTGGTTTATAAGTCAAAAAGCTATGTTTAATCCGTTCTTACATACTCGCATCACTTTTTTTAGGACCCTGAAGTGATGAAGGCATTCAGCGAAGTATGCTCAAACCCAGCTGCCATGGATAAGTACAAAAACAACCCTAAGGTAATGAAGGTCATTGAGAAAATGAAGAATAGATTTGGTGGTGGTGGTGGTGCTATGCCTGGTGAGTCAACCATACTGACAGATTGGGTTTTGAATAACGTTTACAAACTTATATACACCTTAAGGTGCACTTTCTTTTAGATGTATCAGTTAACGGATTTGTAATTAGTGTAGGTAATCAGATTTTTGAACAGCGTATATCACTAAAGCCACTAAACAGCCATGAAATGCAAGCTTGATTTATTCAGATTAAGTAAAAATCTGTTCATCAGAAAAACTACATCAAGCATAACAAAAATGACTCGTTCAGTTTAAACTTGTGAACAATCACTTGCTGACATACGCAGCTGGGGTGTTTCTTATCGTCAAGGTAAACAGTAAGCAAACATAAACGAAATGTTGTGAAAAAGAATTAACGTAACAGCATCAGTTGCACTACAATCGTAGTTTAGAAGGTCGAATGGGCTGAGGGTAAAGAGAGATACAATATGAAGACTTTGACATAAGTAATGATCTTATGAAGTTTTATTTAATGTCTTCAGTCGTAAGACACTATTATCTCCCTTATCATAAACAAGAAATATGCACACTAGCAGCTTGGTCCGATTTTTACTAAATCGATGTATGCGTAACGTTTCGAAAGTTCAGTGGACCAAAAAATACTATACTTACCCTATCCTGTAAAACTACGGTACATAGGTTTAAATTTTGGTAGTTTATAAGATCGTCACTTTAGTAAAGTGGGCTTCACCTATCATCAGACCTGGTCCTACGTTCCAGCTGACTGAGATCTACCGTACCAGTTACATGAAAACATTTATTAAGTTTCCTTCATGGTTTCTTTTTCTCGTCCAGTAATGTTAAACACGTTTAAATATAAAATTTTTCTAATAAAACATTTTCCTAAGTATTCTTGATATCAAGTTCCAGCTACATGATCGTGAATAATACTGCGGCTTGTAGAAGTAGTTCAATGGTGTTTGAACCAATCTACAGACCGATCCATGTGCTACGAATTTGCACTCGACTCTATTAGATTGGTGAGTTGCGCTTTTAAATTTTACGCAGTAATGGGGGTTCAACAACGCTATTCCCAAACCTCGTATGACTCTTAGTCGGGCTACACTTCATTGGAGTCGAAACATTCAGTTCATTTTATTGAAGACCTATCAGTCTACCCTTTGCTCACTCAGCTATATATGTTTAAAGTAAATGACAAAATAAAACTTGTCTATTTTATCAAATGTATTTATAAATACAGTTAGCTTCGTAGTATATTCCTCATGTATTTAATGTGGATAAATTTTAAGGAGGTATGCCTTTCGGAATGGGTGGAGCCGGGTTCAATATGCCTAACCAGTCATGTCCAGGTAAGATTTAATAAAAAATAACCTGTTACTGTGTCATTTAGATCTAGACTAGGTAAAGAAACATTGATCTCAGTCATCTGGTGATTCCATTTAAATACGTTTAATCCCTTGACATTTTCGTACATATGAATAAAAGCTTCCAGACTGTTTTCTTTTCTTCTGCATTAGCTGTTATGGGTTCACCAATTATCAATAGAGGGGAAGGGTTTTCTTCGTTAAGTTCTAGATAATTATCGGTGAAATAACACAGATTCTGTTTTACGTTATACTATTACAGTCATGATTAATTGCTTCATAAGTAGATTGTTCTGTTACTTTTGGAATGAATATTAAGCTCTTAAGTGTTTTTTTATGGAATGAAAATCGAATGGCACTACACCATATATGTGTTGCTCTTTAATGTTCAGTAAGTTAACCGGCAGTCAGTATCTGAGTTTAGGTTATAATGTGATACCATATATATATCACAGATGTATAAATACTTCTTACTTGGATCGTCAATATCTGACAAACTAAGTTGCACAAGTTGTTTTGGTACTGGTTTGGTTGTTAGGCGACACCAGGAAGCTGGTTTATAAAATAAGTCCGTATTAAAAACTGACGGGAACACATGTGTGTCTGAGGTGAATTTCATAATATGTTGAAATGCCTTCCTAAAGGGCTGGCTTATGCGCAAACGGGAATCAATGTGATAGTCACCGCATATTAAAGATAAGCGTTTTGCTTCTGTTTAACAAAGCCCATTTCGCCGAGTTGTCAGCATAAATGTAGTGTGAAAAAAGAGTGGATATGGTGATGTAGTAAACTCATTGTCTGATTGATTGGTCCCCTATTATAAAAACAATGCAACTACCATAAATAGTGTACTTTGAAAACCACCAGCAAAACTCGTGGTATAATGAATTGTCGGGAAGTGTCTGAATCCATATTGATACGCCCACTAAACATATAAATGTACACTATTTATTTGCATAACAAACACTAAATACAGTGATGCGTTGTCAAATATTGGTTCAATTCGTGGTCATACATGCAGGATGGTAAAAATTTGTAGATGAGGTGGATATTTTTTAGTGGTATGTGATCTAATAACGGACTTATTGTCGCCCTGACCTAGGCCAGCGCACCATCATCGTGTTTAGGTTTGTTAACTATGGGCGAGTCACCAATGCTTCTGTTAGCTGTTTCGGTAAATGGCCTTGTCAGTTTGGAGATCAGTGAGCTGCGTCCAATAATGTGAACAAACAGATTCAATTCATGATTATTTAAATTATCCCATAAACCAATTTAGAGTGACATCAGGCCAAATTTCTAGTTATTAAAGTTAAACGAGGTCATGAGATAAAGAAGTCATTTAAGGTGAATGTATGTATGACCATACATTAATCTTGCTTCATTATTTTCGCACTTAATTCGATTTACGATTGACATTATGAGAATGGACGGCTTAAGATGTTCTAGTTCCAGTAAGATGACATCAAAAAGTTTTCGGATAGTTGGGGACCAATTAAGGTCGAAGTCACATCACACGGTCAGTACTTAACTTGAGTTATCCTTTTAATTGTATCCAGGCTCCGTGGGTGTTTTGATGACTAAATCACAAACGACGTTATCAAAATGTATTAGTAAGAGTAGGTACGAGGAGGGGTGCGATCATCACCGGCATGGGCCAGTTCATGATTTGCAATTAAGTAGTGCGTGTTGGTTATCCTTGCACTTGATGAGGATCAGTGAACTGTGCGACATTCAGTGACCCGACTGTCGGATGATTTGGCTAGGGCTCAGTGACATTTCACTGAGGCTACTATTTTGCATCGATGAACTCATTTTAAATGAAAAATAGTGATTAAATAAAATCACAAAAGTTATTGGTTATGATGGATAATATATTTTCCTTTCCGTCGAATCAGAAAATTTAACTTTGAGATTCACGAATAATTGGTTTTTGTACGTATGCGATATCGTCATTCAAATGTCTTAGTAGTGTAAATTTATACTATGGTTATCCACATTTTTTGTTGGTGTTTAGTACATGTGAAGTGATCAACGCTTTCGGCTATTTTTTGTTTCCGTCCGTTTAGGGAGTGCCATAAACTTGAGTGTAATTTTCACCAGTTTTTATCTCGAGTCTGAAGGTGTACACAACTCTCCGCTATAGATATATTTGTGCAGCGCGGTGTAACACGCTAGATGAAAAATAAATACAGGGCTTGAATTGAAGCCACTTTTAAAAAATGCTTAATAAAATGGGCGCGCATCTATTAGGTAACGGAATGTACTGGATACTTCGCATTCACTGAACGCGGAAAACGTCCAGTTGTAATCTTGTCAGACTAATATAAACAGCTATTGTTGTAGGGCATTACCAATGTGAGCATAAATGATCAGTTTTAATTAAGATATCAGTCAATGTACCTGTCAAAAAACAGTAGCAAGTGATTCTGGACATTGAATTTGACGGTAGTTTACAAATCAGTTTAACTTTCGTTAAGGTATTAGTATGCATTTCTGAATTGTTCCTATCATGCTAATGTATTTCAAGACGATACGAAAAAACATTCCAGAAAGTTTTCAAAAAACCATTCAGTGCATCTTAAGGTATTCAGACGATAGATATCATGAAAATTAGCGCTGGGATAAATAGGGTATACATTAGGTGCATAATATTGGGATAACTTTGGAATTACCGCAACAAGCTTTCAGCCTATCTTAACACAATCAGAAAATGGCTATTTGTGTGTGGATAATTTCAGGTAAATAAGACAACAGTACTACAAAGTGTAAAAAAAGTTCTACAAAAATAATTCATAAAAGTCTATTATAAATTACTCTGAATGTAAATCAAAAATACGGAGAATTAAATTCATTCACACGGATATGAACCATCCGTTTTCTTAAACCTCTATAATAGCCCAATTAGATCTTATCAGGTCCCATGTGCTCTTTGTTAGGGTTTTCATGACGAAATGGTATCAGCTGTACTGAAAAATTAATCTGAACTATGTGGATGAATAAATTCCTCGTAGAAATTTGATTGAAATTAGAAGACTGGTTCATACATAAAATATAATGTCACGGGGCCAAAGTTCTTTTCAGGACTAAAAGTCTAGTGGAAAGATCTAGGGACACTGATGTGACGGGATTAAAACAAATTTCCTGAGTTGTTCTTTGTCTGTGTGATCGGACCGTAATGCAGGACGGGAGTTGTATTCTAGTCCGGGTATTGATTAATTCGCCTAAATTATCTATCTTCTACAATATCTACGGCTAGTACGACGATAGTGGGAAAATAGCCGAGATCGATACTTAACTACTGTTGGTCCAGAATGCAGTTTTCCCATGGTCGCTTGTCCAGTAACCAGGATAAGACAATACAGAACGTAAAAATGCTATAACTACATAGTTCAAATTTATGGATCATTCATACGTTGATATTAAGTAAAATCCTGACCATAAATTAACATATTTAAGAAGTCACAGTACAGGCAAACTACTTCATATTTGAAACAACTGAGTAATGGATCTATAATAATTAAACAATAACTTTGGAAAGGTAAAACAGTTTATCCATCACATAAAGTCTTACTAGCACGGTCATACAATAAATCAAGTAATAATTATACAACAAAAATATAACACGTTCAGGTAAGCTAGTTCCGGAAATTCAACTTCCTTTCATATTTTCCCCATAGCTTACTTACGCCTGTTACTCCTCGTGAAGGAGCATAGGCCGCTCACCAGCATTCTCCATCCCACCCTATCCTGGGCAATCCTTTCTAGCTCCATCCAGTTGTAATTCATTGTTTTCATATCTGCTTCTATTATCCGACGCAATGAGTTCTTTGGCCTTCCTCTTTTTCGCTTCCCTTCAGGATTCCAAGTTAGTGCTTGTCTCGTGATGCAGTTTGACGATTTGCGTAATGTATGTCCTATCCATTTCCATCGTCTTTTCCTAATTTCTTCTTCAGCTGGAAGTTGGTTTGTTCTCTCCCACAGAAGGCTATTGCTGATGGTTTCCGGCCAATGGATGTTGAGTATCTTGCGTAGACAACTATTTATAAATACTTGTACCTTCTTGATGGTGGTTGTTGTAGTTCTCCAAGTTTCAGCTCCATACAGTAGAACTGCTTTGACGTTGGTATTGAAGATTCTCACTTTGATATTGGTTGAAAGTTGTTTTGAGTTCCATATGTTCTTTAACTGTAGGAATGCTGTCCTTGCTTTGTCAATCCTTGCCTTTACGTCTGCAGCTGAGCCTCTTTGTTCATCGATGATGCTTCTTAGGTATGTGAAGGACTCTACATTTTCCAGAGTTTCGCCATCAAGAGTGATTGGATTGTTGTTTTCCGCTTTGAATTTGAGGACTTTGGTTTTGCCTTTGTGTATGCTGAGGCCTACTGATGCAGAGACTGCTGCTACACTGGCTGTCTTCATCTGCATCTGTTCGTGTGTACGTGATAGGAGGGCTAGGTCATCTGCGAAGTCCAAATCGTCTAATTGATTTCGAGCTGTCCATTGAATTCCGTGTTTTCCTTCAGATGTCGAGGTCTTCATAATCCAGTCGACCACCAGAAGAAAGAGGAAGGGAGAGAGTAAACAGCCTTGTCTGACTCCGGTCCTTACTTGGAATGCAGCTGTCCTCCATACAAGACTTTGCATTGTAGTCCGTCGTATGAGTCCCGGATAATGTTGACAATCTTCTCAGGAACTCCATAGTGTCGAAGAAGTTTCCATAACGTCCTCCTATCTACACTGTCAAATGCTTTTTCATAACCAATGAAGTTGATGTATAGTGATGAATTCCACTCAAGTGATTGTTCGACGATGATCCGTAGTGTTGCAATTTGGTCTGTGCACGACCGATCCTTACGGAATCCAGCTTGTTGATCTCGAAGTTGGGCATCTACTGCATCCTTCATCCGGTTCAGCAACACTCTGTTGAAGACCTTCCCTGGTATTGACAGCAGTGTAATGCCTCTATAGTTTTCACATTTGCTCAGACCTCCTTTCTTTGGAATCTTGACGAGGTGCCTTTCTTTCCAGTCCATCGGCACTTGTTCCTCTTCCCAAATCTTTTTGAATAGAAGGTAAAGCATGCTTGTGGTTGCTTCGATGTCTGATTTCAGTGCTTCAGCTGGTATGTTGTCGGGTCCTGCTGCTTTCCCGTTCTTGATTCGTCTGACGGACATTCTGATTTCTTCTTTCGTTGGTGGGTTGACATCTATAGGAAGATCTATGTGTGCTGCTTCGATGTCCGGTGGATTCATTGGAGCCGGCCTATTCAGGAGTTCCTCGAAGTATTCTACTTATCTGTTCCGCTGTTGTTGAATTTCAGCTCTAATGCTCCTCTTCACTTGTTTGTTTGCTTCTATGTATTCAGCTTGTGCTTGGACTTTCTCTGCTCGTGTTCGGCTGTTGTTTATTACTGCCTTCTTGTTCTTCCTTTCTTTGATCTTGTCCAGTGTTTTTGTAGAGATCCATTCATTATGATGGTATTTCTTTAGACCCAGAACCTCTTGACACGTTGAAGTTAATGCTTCCTTGATGCCTTTCCAGTTGTCCTCCATACTAGTTTCTTCTTTCAGTAGATCTTGTAAGGTTTGGAACCTGTTGTTGAGAGCTATCTTGAATTCATTGAGTTTGTCAGTATTTCGAAGGAAGGCTGTATTGAACCTTTGTAGTGCTGTTTGTCCCCTTGTCCAGTTCTTTTTTATCTTCAGATTTTCAAATATTTCCCCATTTTCTTTTCTGTCTCCTAGTCCACGTCGTCCCATAATATCTTCATATCTGGTGTCGTTTATTCCGACTTTGACATTTAGATCTCCCATCAGAATGGTGAGGTCCTTTCTTGGGCACTTCTCGTTGATTGGTTGCAGTCTCCCATAGAACTGATCTTTAATGTCGTCGTTGCTATCATTTGTGGGTGCATAACATTGGATAATATTCATTAAGATCCCCTCCTTCTTTGTTTTGAATGATGCTTTGATGATTCTGGATCCGTGGGATTCCCATCCTACAAGTGCATTTCGTGCTAATTTGGACAGCATAAGAGCGACTCCCTGAGTGTGTGGAGCATTGTCCTCTTCGTGACCGGAGTATAGCAGCATCTCTCCCGTAGTTAGCCTTTTCTGTCCAGCTTGGGTCCAGTGGGTTTCGCTGATTCCCAGTGCTGCTAAGCTGTATCTCCTCATTTCCATTGCTATTTGACTGGTCTTCCCGGTTTCCCACATTGTTCGAACGTTCCATGTACCTATAAAATTTTTTGCTCTGGTTGTTAGAAGGGGCATCGGCCTCGTGGCTTCCGAAGGAACTCGGCTTTCACCATGAAGCGTCATAATTCTTCTAACTGAAGACCTTCTAACTCCCAGGGCAGAGTTTAAATGGTTTGGATTATTTTTTCTGGTAAGCGTTTTTTAGCGAGTTAGTTTTCTACGGGATGGGGACGCTAACCCCATGCCCAACCCTCCTCTACCCGGGCTTGGGACCGGCAGTAACCCTATAAGAGCTACAGGCGGAGTTTTTCCCCATAGCAGATGCTGTCTATTTGCCCGTTAGATACAACGTACAGAGAAAGAATCAAACATCTTATGCGTTTAACACTTCTATCTTTACCTCATAGTAAAAAAAATGATGTTCTTTTATCATTTTAAACGTTCTGAGCACCATAAAACGATATTCCTACTGCTCGTCATATGTGATATCTGAGTTTCTCATGTACATTTCTATTCTAATTGGCTCATCCTCATATTGTTTTTACTTGATACATATCTTTGAGATTTCATCCAAATATTTGACGAATATCATACAGAATATTGCTATTATTAGTAATATCTGGATTTATAATGATTATAAAACATACAAATAAATATTTCTTGATAATAAAAATAGAACCGGATAACTAAAACAGAAGTCCTACATAAATCGATATTGAAATTTAACTTCTATTATTAGGTATTATATCCATGAGAAAACTAGTAATGTAACCTTACATTAATAATGACTAAATCATACCGAAGAAAGAGAACAAATTCGTATACAGATTATTTTTTTTCGGTAAGATTATTTGATAATAGTAAAGTGTATATTGAAAATTATTAAAACTAAAGAACAACTAACAATTGGAAGTATCTTTTCACTAGGTGTAGATTATAAAATTAACTAAAATTTTGATTTGGAAAATCATAAACATTTATGGTAGCAATTAGTCGTTTTGAATTAACAGAATATTTTCCAGATTTTTTTTTCTCTAGAAATGGTCGAATCTAATATTTACCAAATCATGAGCTTTGTAGAATATACCTTTTTGAATGTGTGAATTACATGTGATATTAATAAGAATAAGTCTGTCGCATCATCATCACTCGATAAGAATTACATGATAATTTTGTTTGTTTCTAATTCAGATTATATTTCAAACAAAATTTAACAGTCATCTGTAAGCGGTTGTGGAGATGGTTGAATTTCATTGAACTCATGAAGTTAGACATTAAGGCCTTTGAATGACGATTCAGTAGCCTAAAGGTTAAGCGTGATCGAAGGTTCTTGGTTCGATTTCCATATTCGGGGTCGTGGATGCGCACTGCTCTGGAGTGTTTCCATACTAGGGAGGAACGGCCATCTAGTACTTCAAGTCTTTCAATGGTGGTCTAACTTAACTCGGTACAGAATCTCAATGAAATTATTCAATAAGAATTAGCTCAA